GAGAATTTTAGAAACTGTGCATTATGTTGATAGACCGCCCTAATGCCTGCCAGTCTGAAAGACAGGAAGGAACAGGCTAGGAATATGCTAACTATCAGATGTAAATGGCATTGCTCCAATAATGAGATCAAAATATCCTCTGTAAGCTCCCTCCCTCCCCCCCTAAAGTGATATGGGGTATTAGCTATGGATGAGAAGACAAACAAGTATATGTATTTTCAATAATAATGCCAGTCAGGTCAGAGAAGAATAGAAAATGAAGTGAATTCCTAATATCCTTTGAGATCGCGTTCTTTGGCAATCTGTTTTCCCTTTTTATTTAGCTTCACTGCCTCCATTTGTGAGTGTGTGTGTGTGTGTGTGTGTGTGTGTGTGTGTGTCTACCCACAGAGAGGGACACACACTATCATTGTCTTTTACTAGCCTGTGAAGGTGTATTATATGTACATGTCTATGCACACACACAAGCACCCTTCCAAACATTGTTGTTGTTGTTTAGTCGTTTAGTCATGTCCAACTCTTTGTGACCCCATGGACCAGAGCACGCCAGGCACCTCTGTCCTCCATACGAACACATAATGAAGTGCTCAGTGTTTTAGCTAGCTGCTACCTTTTTTCAGAGCACACTATTCCATTCCCCATCCCACTCAGTGTTCCTTTCCTACCCTTCCAAGAGTCAATATTCTGAACCCCCCAGTTGAGCATTCCCAGTCCTTTGGTGTTGAGTTCCATTCTCCACTTAGGGCCGCCCCATTGTTGTGTACCTTCAAACCTCAAGATTCTCCTGAAGCTGTTAATGTTACTGTTTTGACTGCATAAAGAAAGGCATTCAGAAAAGAAGTTTGCTGTTAGTATATAGCAGACATGTTCAATCGGCCGACCGCAATCAACAGATAGATCCCCAGGTGATCCTGGTAGATCGCGGTTGATTGCGAGATCCTTATAGATCGCTTGGGGGGGGGGAACCAGGGAAGGAATGTTTCCACTCCTTCCCCCCTCTCTATGTTCCTCTGTCGCATTACATGGGTAGTTGTTTGGCGTTTGCTGCAGTCGATTGTGGATACGATGATTGTCTATTTCGGGGTGTGGGTGTGTGTTTGATGTTGATTTTTCAGTTAGCAATGTATGGCATATCCCCTTAAAAAAAACTCAACAACTCTGGTCAGTCCTTGCCTTCCACCAACCCAGCCCATGTACACTCCTCCTCCCTTCAATGTCAACAGATAGTTCACTGCCAGTTTTTTTATCGCAGTCTCTTAAGAGTTGGATGTGCCTGGTATATAGTATATTGACACGTGAGAGTTGTTAACATCATGTTCAGAACTAGTTTTCACAGGGATTGCTAAGGCAATCCCCAGTGACAGAGCATCTAATTTGCATGCAGAAGGTCCCAGGTTAAATCCCCAGCATCTTCAAGTAGATCTGGGAGAGTCTCCTTGTCTGAAATTCTTGAGGGTTTCTGCCAGTCAGTGTAGGCAATACTGAGTTAGATGGATCAATGCTCTGAACCAGTATAAGGCAGCTGCCTGTGTTCTATGTTCCTGAAGTAATTTGGCTTCAAATTTTGTGGCTGAGATTCATTGTCTAATTGTTTGTATCCAATGGCCATTAGAATGGAAACACCAAAGTTACAGGCAGTAGAAGATAAGGTTGTTATCCAATGAAATCACTAATTGCTTGCACATGACTGCTTAAGGCCACATTCACACCATGCATTTAAAGCAAAATGGTGCCACTTGAAACAGTCATGGCTTCCACCAAAAAATTCTGGGAGCTGTCTTATATTAAGGGTGCTGAGAGTTGTTAAGAGACCCTGTATTCCCCTTCCAGAATTACAATTCCCAGAGTTCCCTGGGGGAAGGGATTGACTGTTAAGCCACTCTGGCATTTTAAAAAAGCAACAACCCTCAAGCCGATGTGGGAATGTGGAAAACTAAAGCCTGGAAAAATGAAAAACTGAGAGAAACAAAAACTGACATATTTGCTCATCCCTTGGTAGGATGGTGGTGTTTAAGAACAGTTCTTCATCAGACCCTTTAGATGGCTGTGTCTCATTTAGTCATTGTGTTCAGTTTTATCATCTCTTCCTCTTTTTTCCTTTGTTCTTTCCATTTGTCTAATCTCCAGTTTCCTTTATCCACTCTGTTTGTTTCTACCACAGTGTGTCAAGTAAGGATGTTTAACATGTAAGGGAATAAAGAAAATGTGCTCAATAAAGAAAGAGATCCTTCAGAAAATGATTAAAAGAAAATCATTTTCATGCTTCTCTCCTTATAATTTTTTTTAATAACACAGAACAGATTATTATTTTTTTAAAAAAAATCTTCTAAAAGACAGAGTTTTTACATATTGAAAAGAGATGTAAGTTTTAAAGGAAGGATTTAGGCTGGAGCTAATGGTGGTCATCATTGTGATGTAGCCTTATCAGTAGGCTGCTATTTTTGTAACTGAATCTTAAAGGCATTTTTGCCCTTTGAAGAGAGTGTAATGTACTATGCTGATAAAAATCAAGGGTAAATAGAGGTTCTGTGGTCTGTTGTCATGAACATCACGGGCGACTAATGCCACTGTAGAAACAAAGATGGCAGCTAGATAAACAAGTAACGAGCACCCATTTGTCACCCCAAATCCAAACTGCTAAAGATTAATATTTGCTGAGGGTCTCTTGTTTTAGGTAGAAAGAAAGATCTGTGATCTTGGTCACACGTTTACGGGTTTGCACTTGACAGAAGCATCTGTCATTGATTAAGAGGTTAATGATCAGTAGTTTCAGGTCTAGATATTTCGTAACAGCTGAGCCACCCGACAACAGAGGTCAGGGAAAGACGAATGACTTACAAACCAGTTAACATGCATTCTTGCACTTTTAAAAAGTAAACAAATAGATTTAAAATTTGGGGTGCTAATAATATCCATGGAACTTTACATACAAAGAGTTCAGAGGGACACCATAATGGAAAGTTGCTGAGTTAAAAAGAGTTCATTAAGAAATATGGTAGCATTTTTTCTTGAATTGAACTTTAATGGTTCTCTCAAAACAGAAAGCAATTGCCTATTATGTGGCTGTCAGACCATTTTGCTCAATTGTACCCTCAAATATTTGCAGCCACCTTCCAGGTTGCTTTATGGAAAAGAAATAGTAGGCTGTAGCCCAAGAGAGATCATGCCACAGAATTCTTTGTTGACATTGAAAATGGCAGTCATGGATTGCTATATGTTAAAAGTATGTTTTGATCGTCACAGCCTTTTATTAATCCTTTTATTAGCAGCACATCAAAAAGTGGTGCTTCTGTGCTTAATTCTTTGCTGCACATCTAACTTTTTTGTCATCAGCATCTTTTTTGTCCAGTTTTGTTTATTGAGTTACTTACTAAATGTAAATATCCCCCCAGTCCACTGTGGAATGCTTTGCATTGTTCTATGTGATTGTTACGTAAACGAACATTTCTTGAAATAAAGAACAGAAATGTATTTTAACAGAGCATAAAAGAGAACAAACTATTTTACAATTTTAATGTAAAGCAAAAATAAATTTCCTCTGTTGTTAGTGATGTTAGGTAAGGTAAAGGGATCCCTGACCATTAAGTCCAGTCACGGACGACTCTGGGATTGCGGCGCTCATCTCGCTTTACTGGCTGAGGCAGCTGGCGTACAGTTTCTGGGTCATGTGGCCAGCATGACTAAACCACTTCTGGTGAACCAGAGCAGCACATGGAAATGCCATTTACCTTCCCGCCAGAGTGGTGCCTATTTATCTACTTGCACTTTGACATGCTTTCAAACAGCTAGGTTGGCAGGAGCAGGGACCGAGCAACGGGAGCTCACCCCGTTGTGGGGATTCGAACCGCCAACCTTTTGATTGGCAAGCCCCAGGCTCTGTGGTTTAGACCACAGCGCCACCCGCGTCCCTGTTAGTGATGTTACTTTCATTTAAAATAAAATTAATATGAAAATATGTAGCACATTTTGATGCAGCAATCAACAAGGCTGTAGTATTATTTGAAATCCGGGGGAGGGAATTCAAAAATTAGCAGATCGGCAACATTTTCATGATAAAGTTTTATTAACACTTTTCACATTACAATAAAATTAGTTTGTAATGACACAAAAAGAATAAAAAGAATAAAAGAACAGAGAAAAGATAGAAGAGATAAATAAGTACAGAATCCTCTCTCACAGATACATCTTAACTTTTCTCCTGTTCACAAAAGGGTGTGTCCTTGCTCCTGGGAGCATCCCTCTCTTCTCCCAGGTTCTCTCCTAAGAGATTTCTTTTCCTGCCTCTCACACAGGGTCCTTCAGGCAGATTGGCAACATTTTCAAGAGGAAAAACCTATCCCATTAAGTTGATAATGTAGTCAAAAACACAGGGGCTCAAACAATCTCCAGAACTGCACTATTTTGGTGTGCATGTACAGCCCTAGGGAGGATGTTTCAAAATTTTGGTTCCACCACTGAGAAGACCCTGTCCTTCTAACAGCCAGGACACTTGGAGCAGGGTCTTTAAGGAAAACCTGAATGTCTTAGCAGGTTCACATGGGAGAGGGAACTCCCTCAAATGTCATTGAGCCAGATCATTACCCTGAATTAACTAATCTAGTGGTGGTTTAAGATGTTGTTATCACGTGATCAGAACCTGTGTTCAAGTGGCAAGAAAGCTTGGTCTCTGATGTGACAGCTGTTTCAAAATCTACCATTGCATAGACTGGGCTCCTGCATAAGACTGCTAATTATGCATTTAACTTGGACATACAGAGTAAGGACCTCCAAAGTTATCCCTCCAAAACAACAGACAAATGCAATGGGTATAGCATGGAATACTATAAATAGATTCGTGTAGAATGTGCTCCACAGATTTATTATTTTAGTAGCTCTAATCTAGATGTGCTTTGGCTTTTAGCAAAGAGATTGCTTAGTTATTTTCAAGAGAGGCTCAAACATTGTTCATTTTAAATAACCTTGCATTTTTTTCTTTCTTTGTCTTTTTTTCCTCCTGAAAGAATGCTTGAAGATGATCTGAAACTCAGCAGCGATGAAGACGATAATGAGCAGGTAACATTTTTGACATCCAGTCTGCTTTCTCAAATGCCTAATATAGCCGCATGAATTTTTATGATATTTGCAACACTTTATCCCTGCCTGCCCAGAACCTAAATGTCATTTCCATTTAGGTAGCTAATGAGTAGCACCTCAAAAGACTTTGCAATTGCTTGTCAGTTGTCCTTCATTCCAGATACACCAGCATTTATTTTATCCTGATGAAAGTACTCAAGAGAGTACCTTTTTACTTCTTGCAGTTTCTTAATCAAACACATCTCCATTCAGGTATGATCTTCCTTCAGTCTATCTTACCAAAGGTATCAAGGTTGGTTGCCACTGTGGACACCATTCTCATTGTGACTTCCATGAAAAGAGACCCATTACAACAGGGCTCAAACCCGTTTCCAGCCTAAGGGCCTCTTTGCCTTCTTGGCCACATTCCACAGTAGGCAGATCTGAAGAAGAAACTGTGTGGAGTAATGGATGTTAACGTGACCTTTGCAAAGGAGGCATTTTTTCTATGCACATTCACACATCCCTCTCAGTCCTCTATCCAGGCAAGCCAGAGGTCAAGGTGCATTATAGTCAGGCAAAAGTACTGAAGGAGGGTCAAAGCATGACCAGTAAGGGTCATGTGGCAAAGAAGTGTGGCCTGGAGAGAGGCTCAAGGGCAGCTGGAAAGGCCTGGGGCATCTCACTCAGCCCCTGCGGCCTGAGGTTACCCATCCCAGCATTAAAGCTTCCATTCAGACGTTTATCCACATTCTGCAAAGCTGATTGTTTTCAGAATACTTTGGCAAAGGTGTAGAAGTCACACAGCGACACCTTCACATATATCAAATGCCCAGTTTGTCCCCCTTTTATTCTCTGTGAGTATTTTGAGTTTCTTTGGGGTGCCAAGGGAGGCAGAAAATAAGGGGTTAGATCTGGAGTCAATTTTCATTTACAGCTGTGCAGCAGCTATTAATGCTGTGTGCTCTCAGTTCACCGAAAGATCTAAAGATGCAAGCCTTTGTGTTTCTCTTTCAGAATGGGCTGCATAATCAGTATCAAATGCTTAAAAAAAAAAAAGTAAAGAAAATTCTATTGATGGCTTTATAAAAGTATTGTCAAATTGTTTGAAGTTATCCACCAATATGGTCTCATTCCTATGATCCCCCTCCCCCTTAAAGATGCATGCTGGCCAGGCTACAAGGCACAAATTCTTAACAGCAGGTAAACATCTGCTTAATGTTTTATTAAGCAGTATCATTAAACTGAACTTAAGCGTTTTCTGCATTTTAAAATATTAGAGTTCCCCCAACTGCGTGGAAAGTAATGCAAGAGCCACCAGCATTCCCATGGCCAAATCACAGATGCAAAGTTGAATTTCCTGTGTACTGGGAAACTGTAGCTTTGCACCACGCTTCATCTACCCAAACTTTTATTTGTTATAAATATTTCTACACCACCCTTCAACCATATTCCCATGCGGCTTACAAAAAGAATTAAATAGTTGTGGCTCGGTGGCAGAGAAACTGGTTCAGCTCCCTGGTTCAGTCCCCCATGTCATCTCCAGGTAGGACTGGGAGAGCCACTGCCAGTGTCCGCAATACGGAGCTGATTAGACCACTAGCTCAGAGTCAGTTTCAAGCAGTTTCATATGTGAATTTGTGCATAGCTCCCAGTACGTTTCCGAGCACAATTCAAAGTGTTGGTGCTGACCTTTAAAGCCCTAAATGGCCTCAGTCCAGTATACCTGAAGGAGTGTCTCCACCCCCATCGTTCTGCCCAGACACTGAGGTCCAGCACCGAGGGCCTTCTGGCGGTTCCCTCACTGTGAGAAGGGAACCAGGCAGAGGGCCTTCTTGGTAGTGGCACCCACCCTGTGGAATGCCCTCCCACCAGATGTCAAAGAGAACAACAACAAAGAGAAATGAGGCCGGGGAGAGGCTGGCACTGCAGCATAAAGGCTGCTGGACACGCTCCCCCCCATGGCACCTGGTTGGGCGGCCACCGGGGGGGGGGGCGTGAGCGCCAGCCAGGTGAGCTGGAGGCAGGGGGGCAACGCCCCCTGCTAGGAGCGGTGTTCGGGCTCCCGCCCACAACCACTCCCCTCTCTTTCAGGGAGGAGAGTCTCTACCAGACTTTTAGAAGACATCTGAAGGCATGCCTGTTTAGGGAAGCTTTTACTGTTTAATAGATTGTTGTATTTTAATATTCTGTTGAAAGCTGCCCAGAGTGGCTGGGGAAACCCAGCCAGATGAGCGGGGTATAAATAAATAAATAAATAAATAAATAAATAAATAAATAAATAAATATATTATTATTATTATTATTATTATTATTTAAAAAGTCCCAAAGTGATTTGCAGATAAGTAAAAAATATGATAATTAAATCACATAAATGTATTAAAAACAAATGTAACAGAACAATATTATATCATTGGTGCTCCCAAATACCTGGTAAAACAAACCTGCCTTTGCCTGGTCCTGGTTCTGAAACAATGATAAGGTAGATGCCAAGCAAACCTCCTTGGGGTGAATGTTCTGTAAATGAGGGATACTGCAGAGAAGACAATTAAAAGGGCATGTTTGAATTTTTTTGTATCTGAAATTAAAATGTAAATACAAAATGTCACAAAGCTGCATCCAATACCCTGCATGACTTTCCCTTCCTCTCCTTTCTTCACATTCCCCCCAGATCTGCTCCAGAGGATCTGTCAACGTTCTGGTGCAGACTTGGTGGGTGCGCAAGGGGGATGCAGGAAAGAGGAGAGGAGGGGGAAGTTCTGTTGCACAAGCAGGTCTGCTGCATGAGCAGAATGGCAGTATTGGATGCAACACAGCAAATTATTTTATACACACACACACACACACACACACACATACAGTATAATATATGTACTAAGCAGAAAAGAATGAATATATGGGATAAATGTCAGGTCATTAGTCATTAGCTCTATATTTTGCACAATCAAATAACTTCTGCAATAATTGTTTCTCTTATGATGTGGCTTTAATGAAAGTACATTTTAGAAACCACCTGGGGTGGGGCGGGAGGGGGGAGAATCGGCAGGATCTTTAACGCCCAGGAAAATAAAAAATTGGCTGGTGCCAAAAGAACAGTACAGGAAGGACTGGGCAAACCACTCTGGAAAGAGTGTTCCCCACCAAAGGCGCCCACCACAGAAAAGACCCTCTGGCAGCAACCCACCTCCCTTCAGTACTAGGATTTTTGTATTGATAACACTGGACACAACTAGGGATGTTAAAAAGCATTGATTTTATTTTCCACCCTGTGGCCATCATATGCTGCACCATTTCTGTTCCGCTGCAGTTCACCTTCTGCAGAAAACCACATTATTCAGCTCACTGTTTACTGTGGTAAAATCTAATAACTTAATTATGTGATTGTTGCATGATTGTCACATGGTGTGTTACATGATTCCACACCATTTCAGGGGTGGGGGAGACAGCATCAATAAGAACAGACTGGGAGTGACTGGTCATAGTTGCCTGCCTGGCTTCCATTCCTGAACAGACACAATTCCTTGTACCATTTCCCACTTTGATGGAATTTCCCGGCATCCTTTGCCACAACCTAACTCTTGTCATGTGCAACCACTTTCAGGCAGGAACTAATTGCTTTGCATGGATATGTGTATTGCCATCTCCACCCAGATGGTTCAGCGAACCCCGAGGAGCATAGTTTCTCCTGCAATTGTGCATGCAAGAATCTGATCCTTGATCAGGCAATGTGTGTTTAGCAGGATCAGCTCTTGTTGACTTCTCTGTACAATTCTTTTAAAAAAAAAGAAAAAAGAAAAACAATTTAAACCTGTTCCAAAGTCACAATAAATAAGAGCAGCTCAGTGTCTGGATTCTTTGAAGCAGTCTTGTCTAGTCCCAATTAGCTTTGAGTTATCCAAGTGAATTGCAGCAGAAACTAGTATTTTAAAGAGCCGCAGTTTACTAATCTTCTCCAGCCCATTCTTTGTTCTGCATTCTGCCCAAGAAATAGTCCTCTTAACCTTTGAAACGTGTGTCCTTAATCTAAAACACATTGCCAGAGTGTTGTGTGTTTTGGACCCAAGTAACTTTGATACCATTCACTTAAAAAAAAAACCAAACATTTTCTGCATTTAAGTATTTTCTTGGCAGAACAAATTGCTGAAGTGGATTTTTATCTTTTCAGCCTCACACTCCCCCCTCCCTTCTCCCTTAAACAATTAAATTTTACACATGTGGATCTCAGATAACCCTAAACTCCATTGCCACCTCCTACTTAATCCTTGTTCCTGATTTGGCTGTCATATTTCAGTTATTGTTTCTCTCTTGGCTGTGTTTGTATTAGATAATTGCATGCAAAATGAATTACTTGATCACTCCAACGCTTGTCGGCCTTAGGTTGAGCCTCCCCTTCCTTCAATAGATAATGGAAGCATGGAACATTTCTTTCCAACTGTCTGTCTCGCTGGTGTTGTTTTAAAACCCTGATTAAAAACTGGCTAATTTGGAAGATATAGTTGTGCTGTTTTAAAGAGATATGGCATCTGAATCTTAATAGCAGGATCGGTTGTTGTTTTTCCAGCGACCTCCACCTCCCTGCACCCATTATTACCCAGATCCTGAAAAGTTTGCTTACCTCCCACAATACCTCCTTCCCACATTTCTATTTAGTTATCAGCAGAAAAGCTGAGGAATCATTCTTCAGTAATGGCATCAATACTGAACACACATACCGGGGGCAAGGTCATCCTGTCAAAGGCATGGGCTAGGGGAATCAGAAGGATTAGGATGAAACCAGCTACAAATAACTTTGATGGAGTATTTTAATGTAAACAGTTTGCCTTCCTTTGAGTTTCACTGACATCTTAGGCAGCACAATGTTTCCAGAAGCAATTAAGAACTGATTTTTACAGTGTATTAAAAGACCAATATGGATGGTTTTCACCACCTCTTTAATAAGGGTGTGTTGAAGCTTCACTAGTGTTACTTGGAGGAAAGACCCACTGAAACCAACAGGGCTT